ATTTTGGTAATAAAATTATTCAAAATAAATCAATATATCAAAAGTTATTAGCAATTCCATAAATCAGCCCATATGTTGTTATTAGATAACACATACAATAAAGCAATATTTAAGAATTAGACTAGATATAGTAATAGAAGATAATATAAGCCTAGCAATTAAAGATCTGTCTGGAACTATAGTAGCAAATATAAAACCAAATCATAGTAATAACGAAGATGATATTAATAAAGATAAAAAAAAAGATCTAAAGTTAAGATTAAAACCATTAAAGGGATTTTAAAATTATATTACTAGAGATGGCCTGTTGGGAGTAAATATAATGGATATATTAGTGTGCATTCACTACCTTATATTGGAGAATGGAATAACTTTTTACCTATATATCTGAATAACCTTTGGAACATTTTATTTTACCAACCAAACCTAACTAAATCAGAACAAACAATACTAAGCTCTATATAGATGATTCCAATAAATGATGTAAATGACTATGAAGAAGGTATTAAAATATATTTATATCATTGATTTTAAAAAAAAAATAGAAAAATTCTAATTGCTTGAAAATGTTTAAAACTAAAAAATGTTAATATAGATTAAGATAATAAGAATGAAAGCCAAAAAGAAATAATAAATAGTAAGTAATAATTAGAATACTCTTATCTAATGCATTCATTCAACTTTTTATTCAAGTGTCTAATGTCTAAATCAATTTATTAGACTCTTTAGTCATAATATCAATTCCAAGGTAAGCATGAAAAAATTAATAATATTTGATTTTTTACTTACTGATAAATGTTTTACTATAGTGTGATAGATTTGGAATTTCCTTTACTTAAGAGGTAGATGTTAAGAAACAATCAAAGGTTAGGCAACAGAGATAGTGGTACTAAGATCAAAAAATATATAAAATCTATCTTAGAATACTTTTTTTTAAATGAAAATTGAGAAAGTATAGATAGAATGGATGCACAGACCATGTATAAAGAACTCCTAGAATACGTCGAAGCTGGTAATATAGAAGAGGAGGATGTTCTAAAAATTTCTATGATTCAAAATTGGATAAATACATATGCTCGTACTTTTAAGTGAAAAGCAACAATTGAGTTAGATAATAGTGTTTAGTTGAAAGTAATACTTGCCTTTGTTTTGTATCTTGAGATTTAAATAAAATATCAAATATTGATTAGTGTTTATAATATAAAATAAAATTTTAAACATCAATAAAATTAAATTTATAAATATAATAATTCTTAATAGAATCGCCCAGAAACACAATTTATTTTCACATATACTGTATGAGTCCTTTATAAGAAAAAAAAAAGGTTTAATAGCAATAAAGAGAATCAAACATAAATTGCTTGCAAATTTACTTTCATTTTATGTAAATTATCTTCTCCAAAGTTGCTTGTATAGTAAACTGGCTAAAAAAAGTATAAGAGAGTATAAAAGAATAACAGCCCAAGAATTTAGTAAAAACTAGTAAATTTAACCTTGAAGTTTTCGATAAATTTATCAAGTTTATCACATTTAGTATAAGTTAAACACTATACATATTTCATTTTTCAGAAGATCTATTTCGGCAAGTGAAAATTGCTGTTATATGAGAAGATTTACTTCAACAAGATATAAAACAGGTAGAAATTGCCATTGTACAGAAAGATCTACTTCAACAAGGCTAGAAATTGCTATTATACAGTTATACAATCATATACTGTATATAAGAAAAAATACTGGTAAATGCAAATTAGTATTGTTCTTGCTGTAAAATATTCTCAAAGGCCAAAAATAATTGTCCGAAGCGTAGCGGAGGACACTTAATGTTCAGGTAATGTGATACCAAAGTTACGTTTTTGATGCATTAAAAGTTACATTTTTGATTTACTATTTGCCAATATCACGTTTGTACATCAAAAACGTAATTTTGAAAATTCTGTCTGTCCGCACGCGTGTCTAAATTTGTACTTTGATGTAACAATTATTTTACAAAAATAGTCTACCCATACATATTATTTATCATGCTGGGTACTACCTATTAGGATAATCTAAAAATCTTTAATTCAGTAATTAAATAGTATTTTGCTTAACGTTAAAACAAAAAGAAACCAAATATCAAAATTCTGTAGCCGTGAGTTCAATCCTGGTAGAATATTTTTGTAACTTATAGAATTACAAGTTAATTTATTAAATAAAACAGACTCGTCGCATTTAACTATCAATCCGACGTTTAAACACAATACTTAGCTAAGCTTTTATTTGTTATTTCTTGTGTTTTATGTGATTCACCCATTTTAACCAAATATTACTCTCTATTTAAGGTATCATGGAAACTAACCGTTCCTCCTCTTTCTTCCTTTCTTGCAGCCTTTTACACTCTTTAATTCTCTGCAGCCTTTCAAAACTAAACGGCTTGAAAAGGAGATCCTTAAGAGTACGGACCCTAGAAGTTGCGACGAACGAAAGACCGGCTGCAAATTCTTTGTCACCAAGGTCTATAAAAGCCTTTGGCAAGGTAAGCCCCTGGCTTTTATGTACCGTAATTGCCCATGCCAGATGGACAGGAAGCTGGAAATGGGAACATGTTGTTCCAGACTTACCTTCCCAGGTACGTCGAATTGGAATAATCGGAACAACTTTTACGCCTTCTACGTTAGTGACTGTGGGGCCTTTGTAATCATCAAAGCTTATAAAAACTGCTGTAGGAACGCATGGAGGGCCTGGTTCTTCGAATAATATGTCATGTATGGTTCCTAATGAGCCATTGACTAAACCAGCTTCTGTCCATATATTTGCAGTCAGCATAACTCGTGCACCTCTTGCCAGTAACAGCTGCGCTTCAAGACCATGTGATGTATCCGAGTCTGCTCTTTTCGCTTCAACCCCACCGGTATGTTTAGCATTAATTTTGGCAACAGGGACGTTTAACAATCTAAGCTTATCTATATTTACAGCATTTACATCAGACCATCTTGGCAGGATGAATGTAACATCTGAAAACTGGTCACGTTCGGCCTTTGTTAATTTTTCCTCGAGTCGTGTGTTAAGTATCTTCCAGTCATCTACTGTAGACTCCCCATCACGTATCCGTAAAAGAACGTCTCTGAAAGCCCGTTGTTCCTCAGAATCACCAGATTGCCACTGAACTATATCAAGCTTGTATACCTCTAGAAATTGTTTGTATGCTGCATGTCCATTATTAGACAATACATCTCGTTTAACGTCAATATACATTGGGAGATCAAGTACGGGTGGAAGCTGACCAAAATCACCAACCATAATAACTGATCTGCCACCAAAGAGTTCGTTCCTTTGCTCGGGAAAGGCTTGACGTAGTCGCATGTCAATTAAAGCAAGCAATCGACACCCAACCATACTTTTCTCATCTATAATTAAGTATTTCACACTTTGTAACCTTTCCTGTAATTGTTTCAATCGCTCACCGTCTATATCTAAATTATTAGTAGAATTTATTGCGATCGAGAGTGCAGAGTGAATCGTTCTACCATTAATATTGAAGGCTGCAACACCTGTCGGTGCAAGTACGAGTACTGGCGACATAGACTCAGTTCCTGCCATCTGCATAAGTAAGCCTCGAATTGCTTTTATCAAATACAATTTTCCTGTCCCTGCA